TTGTTTTCTGCACATTAGATAGACATCTCAGTCTTGTCAGACTGACCTCATGTAGGTGAACCTTCCAATAAATAAGTCCTGCCAGAGTTTCTGGGTGCCTCTAAAATCTTGTATTTGTCCAAAGTGCCATCTTTGTTCTTAGTGGCCCTTAGGAGACTGGGATGTGCCAAGTCCTGTCAGTGCCCTGAGACAGGTGAGATAGGAGCCAGTCCGTTGCGATACAGCTGAAGATTTTGGGGTGTTATATGTGTGTTTCAGTTTATTCTATCCCCAGAAAGGAGCTGAGAGCTAGAGCTTATCACCCACTTGCTCTGCACTAAGCTGGAGAGAGGATCTGTGACAAATGTCTGCACTCTTGTTCAGACTGCACACTCTTTTAACCCATTGCATTGCTCTTTGTCTCTGCCAGGGGCCTAGCAAATGTTGGCTCTTTCCTGCTCTCAAAGACATACAGGTTAGCTTGAGGAACTGTGGAAAGTGCTCACACATTCACTCAGGTCTTCAGAGGACTGCTGATTGCCTGGTCTGTCAATTCCCAGATGCAGGCTAGTTAGAAGCTGACTCTCATGGCACAGCTGGGAAATTAGGCCTGCAAATCACTTTCAGGGAGAATCTGAGAACCTGATGTTTTTTGACTTTTCTGTGCTGAGCACAAGGAGATAGCCACTGGAAGTTCTCACACACCCTTTTAAAACTACTTCTTTGCTTTCTATGGTCACAGGGGATTCATGACTGCTGATCCCTGTCCACTCCAAGAGCTAGGTGATTTAGGGGCCAAACCCTCAGGTGGGAATTGTAAACGTTGTACCATTCTGTGTGTGGCCCAAACCCTTCACTCCTCAGGGAGAATCTGAGAGTTGGGGATTCTTTGCTGATTGTAGGACTGCATTCAGGGTGGGGTGTGTGTCCCAGCTTTTCCAGCTCATTTTGATGTGGATATTTTCTCAGTTTACCATGTGTAGGTGCTGCTCACCTAGTTTCTGGATTTCCTTCAGAGGGAATTGATCTGTGTGTAGACGTTTTTCCAGCGCGTCTATGGGAGGCGGGAACATCAGCAGACTTCTATTCCACCATCTTGCTTATGTCACTTTCTATAATTCTTATAATTCTTCATAGTTGGATTTGATTTTCTAATAATTTGTTGAGGATTTCAGTATTGTTCATGACAGATACTGGTTTCTAGTTTTCTATTGTAATGTTTTTGTGTGGTTTTGGCAGTAGGGTAATGCCGGCCTCATTGAATGAGTTAGGGAGGATTCTCTCTGCTTGATCTGGAAGAGATTGTAGAGAATTGGTATAATTTCTCCCATAAATTTGGTAGCATTCACTCGTGAAACTACCTGGGCACTATGTTCATTTTTTCTTTTCTCTTTCAGACTGGATAATCTCAGTTGACCTATCTTCAAATTCACTGATTATTTCTTCTGCCAGCTCAAATCTGTCCTTGTCCTAATCTAGTGAATTTTTCAACTCAGTTATTGTACTCAACTCAAGAATTTCTATTTGGCCCTTTTTAAAATAATTTTTTTCTCTTTGTTGATATTCTCTATTTGGTGAGACATTATTTTCATACTTTCTTTTGATTCTTTTTTTTTTTTTTGCCCTTTTTGAGACCGGCCGCACCGCGCTCAGCCAGTGAGCGCTGTGAGCGCACCGGTCATCCCTATATAGGATCCGACCCCCGCGGCGGGAGCGCTGCTGTGCTCCCAGTGCCGCACTCTCCCGAGTGGGCCATGGGCTTGCCCTCTTTTGATTCTTTTTTTTTTTTTTGCCCTTTTTGAGACCGGCCGCACCGCGCTCAGCCAGTGAGCGCTGTGAGCGCACCGGTCATCCCTATATAGGATCCGAACCCCGCGGCGGGAGCGCTGCTGTGCTCCCAGTGCCGCACTCTCCCGAGTGCGCCATGGGCTTGCCCTCTTTTGATTCTTTTAATATGGTTTCCCTTAGGTTTTTGAAAATACAATAATTGCCATTCTAAAGATTTTGTCTAATATGGCCAACATGTGGGTCTTCTCAGTGATAGATTCTACTGATTGACTTTTTTCCCTGTGTGTCAGCCATATTTTTCTGCTTCATTGTATGTCTTGAATTTTTGGTTGAAAAAAGAACATTTGAGATAATATAATGTAGCAACACTGGACATGAGACCCCCCCCCACCCCAGGCTTTGTTATTGCTGTTTTATTGTTCTTTTTGTTGTTGCTGTTTGTTTAGTGAATTTCCTGAACTAATTCTGTAAAGTCTTTATCCCCTGAAGTGTGTGGCCACTGAAGTCTCTGTTTAGTGGTCACCTAATAATTGATCAGAGATTTCCATAAATGCCTGTATTAGTCCATTTCTGTTGCTTATAATAAAATAACACGGGACTCGGTGATTTATAAGAAAATGAAATTTATTGCTTATAGCTTCTGAGGCTGGACATCCAAAGTCTAGGGAACATTTCTGGTGAGCGTCTTGGTGGTGGTGACAGTGATGGCAGAGTATCACATTGCTAAAATGGTGGAGCAGAGAGAGCAGAGACAGAATCTCCTCTTCTTTTAAAGCCCTAAGAACCACGTCCCTGACCACCATTTTTAATCCATTCATGACTGCACGATCTTACGATCCAATCACCTCTTCAGGGCTCCACCTTTCAATGACCATAATAGGATTTCCCACCCTCTTAATCACAGTGGGGGCCAAGTTTCTAATACACAAAACTGGAGGAACAGAATTCAAGCTTTAGTGAGTTTTGTGGGGGACATAATTCAATCCACTACAATGGCTTAAACCAATAAGTCTTGCAGTCTTCGCTGGGGCGCTCTCTGTGTCTGTTAGGGCACACCTTTACAGTGCAGGCAGTTTAGGACTCTGTGTGAGCCTTCATTTCTTTCTTGTATATGGCCTCAAGATCAGCAAGAAGTGAGAGATTGGGGCTTTCTCAGGTCTTATATGGGCATGAAATGGCCTTCTAGTTTCCCAGGAATATTTCAGTGCTTTTCAAAGTCCCCTATGGACATCTTATTTCCCAGATCTTTCTTTTAAGTTTTTGATTGGGTTCTTGTGTGCCCAACTGGTATTGTAGCCTCAGGTAACTGCAGTGTTAAACAGTCATCACTGGTTGTTTTACACAAGTACCCTGGGTATACGGGTTTTCTTGCCAAGTGAGCTCTGAGTCAGGCCAAACAATGACCAGGCCCCAATGACAATGCCCTGAGAATGGGGCTTTTCCATGTAGCTGTGAGACAGGTCAAATTATGAAAATGTTCCAAGGAAAGGACTTTTTGAGGCGGTTCTGTCCTGGTCTGCCCCATCTGGCAGTTGCAAGAATGTTAGTTTTCACAGCTTCTGTGGTTTCAAGACTGCTGGTTTGTAAGGCTGCTTAGAGCTGGGGAGAGAATGGGGACAGGCCAAGTTTAAAAAGCCACAAACCCTATCTTATGACTTAAGTTTAGCAGTTTTTCTTGAATAAACATTCCTCAGATTGTTGTAAACTTTTGATTAATTTCCCAAGTTCTGAAAAAGTTGATTTTGACAATATTCACCAGCAATTTTGCTGCCTTTATGGAAGGATAGATTTACAGAGGCCCTCACTCCACCGTTTTGGTTGTACTCTCACCGTCCTTTAGCTTTCTAGAGCAGTTTGTACACCTTAGGAAGTTTTTCTTCTTTAGATTATGATTATGTGGTTACTTGTCCTTCACTAGAATATAAGTTCCCTGGGGACAGAACCTATCTCTGGCATGTGTAATGCCTTGCACAAAGAGATGTGAAGTGAATCATAGGTTGGGAAATCCCTGTATTTCTTAGTTGAATGGGCAGTCTTACTTCTGGTGTGGTCAGAGGAGGCAAAATGTCTCCATATGGTAAGGTGATTCAATTTCTTTTACATCCAGCATCGGCTCTGTGACAGGCAGCCTTCTTTAAATAATTTCCTGGAAAACATCAGTTCAACCCTGCAGCTAGCCTGTTTTCTTTGAGTTTTGGGGTCATTATCCTGGAATATGGATTAAATAATCCATTCAACTAATATGTGATGCTTACCTGTTATGTGCCAGGTATTGTGCTCATGTGGTAGACAAGGGAGCACGGCTGACGGGGTCTTTACCACAATGAAGCTTACAGTTTAGAGGAAAGACAATCCCAAAACAAAACCTCAAAATTTTAAGTACAAATTATACAGTTACAAGGGAAACAAAATGCTATCGAGATGGGAGAGTTAGTACATTTACAATATCCACCTTTTCTTGCAATGGCACAGTTAGTACATTTACAATATCTACCTTTTCTTGCAATATCTCTGCATTTTGGCAATCTATCTTTTTCTAAAATAGACCTTCATGTGTTTTAAATTTTCTTTTGCTTTCCAGGTTTCTTTTTAACAATATTTTAAAAGTTATTTATATCTGTGCACAACACTTTCAGTGTCACATTTATTTATATAACCTATGTAGGATTCACTGTTTAATTCTTACCCCCAGTTAACCAGCATCATCTGACACTCAGATCGTCTTTTCCCTTCTTGTTTTCATAGACACCTTTGGGGAAGAGCTTGGTCCTACATGAGTATTGGAAAACTGCTCAATTTTTAGGAGTGTGAATAAAGAAAATACATAAAAGGGAAGAGAAATTAATGCCCATAAGACTCCCGTTTAAAGAGTATTGGCTTAGTACAGACGTAGGAGAGAATCCACTATTGAGTATAGGCTCGATCTTTTTGGGTCCCCCAGTGGAGGCCAGCAGGGGTGGGTGATAAGTAAGAGGACAGGAAACTTGTGTCATGCAATGGGATTAGAGCTTAAATTTTAAGAGTCCTGAAAAAAAAATCAATACCAAGCTTGTTTTTCATTTATGGAACACCTAATATGTAGCGCCTTAGCCTTAGAACTTAGCCTTTTCGGGAAGGGGGAAGGCTAGGAACAGACAAAGTGATGGGTGTTCATGTGCATCTAGGTAGTTAGGGCACACGGACATGCAGCTTGTCTCCATTGACATTGGGCTGTTTCTTTTCTCTTTGGCCAGTGTTTGTCCAGCATGATGCTGCTCAGCTTTACCTCACAGTCTGGAACCTAATTAAGGACCAAATTACTGATGTGGACTTGGTAAGAACCTAGAACTAGAGAGCTCAGAAGTATAAGATGCTGCTCATTTAACTAATTTAGCTATTGTTCATGTAATTTGTAGAGAGGAATAAAAGAGTTAATCCGCATAAAAAAGTTTATCACGGGCCGGCCCGGTGGCGCACTGCTACAGTGCGCCGCTTGGGAGCATGGCGGCGCTCCCGCCGAGGGTTCGGATCCCACATACAGACCGGCCGCTCACTGGCTGAGTGAGGTGCAGGAGCAACAGCGAGGGTTGCGATCTCGTTGCGATCCCATTGCCGGTCCCGGTCCGGTACGGGCGCGACACCGAGGGTTAATGATCCTGTTGCCGGTCCCGGTCTGGTACGGGCGCGACACTGAGGGTTGTAATCCGTTGCCGGTCACGAAAAAAGACAAAAGGAAAAAAAAAAAAGTTTATCACAGTTCCATAACATTATTACCATTGTTATTTTGCACCTTTATGGAGAGGGCAAAGAGCATTAGTGGCTACCATTTCTGGAGCTTCTGTTTGGTGGCTCCAGCTTCTGGAAATTGGCATGACCTGATTTTGGCTTTGTGTCCATCTTACCTTTCCCCTCTTCTCTCTGGCAGGTGGAGAGGCTGCAGGCTCTGTACACAATCCGGATGCAGGAGACCTTGGTTTGCCTTGACTGTACTGTGGAAAGCAGCAGAAACAGTAGCATGCTAACCCTCCCCCTTTCTCTTTTTGATATGGACTCAAAGCCCCTGAAAACACTGGTGAGGGATTTCTCTTGTGAATGTGGTATTTCCACACAATCCAATATTTCCAATTCCCCCTTGCTGCTTTTATCCACCCTTGGCTTTTAAAAAAAATCACTTTCTATTTAATTTGCATGGCTCTGGTCAATTTATCTTTTGATCTGGCAAAAACATATTTTTTTCCTTCTCATTCTACTATCCTCTCACTGCTCCCTTAACCAGCGCCCCTCCCAATTTTGTTTTTCCAGTCAGTAGGTACTTTTTGAGATACTGCCAAGTGTATCACAGTGGGCCAGACATTAAGTGGGGCATGGAGAGGACCAGAAGAAAGGTTTAAAGGAGGCTGTACTCTGGATTGGAAATACCAACCTTGCTTTTTTCCTTGTTCTCCTGGGTGGGACAGGAGGATGCCCTGAACTGTTTCTTCCAGCCCAGGGAGTTATCAAGCAAAACCAAGCTCTTCTGTGAGAACTGTGGGAAGAAGACCTGTGTGAAACAGGTACTCACTCCCTAAAATCAGATACTTCACTAGTCCGGGATTGCCCCTAGTGGATTTCCTGATCGAGTCATCACATGGTTCCTGAGGGTACCTCATGGTGATTAAGGGAGGGAAACTGGGTCAGGCTAGTATCTGGGATCCTGGGGTTCCTGATTTCCAGAGCTGTGGATGTGGCTTCTCAGATCACATCATTGAGAGGGGACAGAGCCTTTTAGAAACAAGAGCAGTGGGCAGAGTTTCCCCTCATGGTGAGACTAGTTCCCTAGAGCAGACTCCGTAGTTCCCCCAGCCCCTGGGGCTGCTCGTGACTTCCGTGGGAGATGGTGCAATGGTGTCACAGCCAAATGTTGCATTATTCTTGGAGGAGCTCAGCAGATTCAGGGAATGGGAGCCTTTAATTCTGTGATATATCATCAAACTTCCTCTTCTGGGGAAGAACATACCACCAGCCCTGATATTTCTCTGAATCTACCCATTCGAAGTGCCTTAGGATTTCATCTCCACGGTGATTTTGCCTTTTTAGGTCTTGAAGCTGATCCATTTGCCCCAGACCTTGACAATCCACCTCATGCGGTTCTCCAGCAGGAATTCACAGACTGAAAAGATCTTCCACTCACTGTATTTCCCTCAGAGCTTGGATTTCAATCAGGTCCTTCTGATTAAGCAAGACCTCTGTGATGCTGAGAAACAGGTGAGCTGCTCCTTACCTCCCTTCCATCCTGCATCTCATCAGACACCATGTCCTGTAGATTTTGCCTTCCCTCACCCTAAGCTGCTGGGAGCCACCCATTCATCAGAAATGGTGTTTTCAGGTGTCTTCTCTGTGTTGTTTTCTCATCTAAGAAATCATGCCCTCTGCTGGCTGTACTTGGGACACAAACAGGAAAACTCAACAACCTCTTGTGATTCATAGAAACATATTCAGATAGTCAAGAAACACTTTTTTTTTTGTAGAAAAAACAGCGTTTGAATGTTGGAAACCTGTGTGTGCTTGAATAGCAATGATGGGTTGTTATCACCACACCATCACCACCAGCCTTTGTTGTTTTTAGTTGCTTTTCTTTTCTTTTAAGATTCAAAAGACTTCCTTATTTCTAAATATTGGGTTTGTACTCGTGCCTCACAGCACTGAGGGAAGGAACCCATAATTCAGTACTTTCCTTTTGAAATAACATGTGAAGTACTTACAAATACATAGGTAAACATGACATTTTGTCATAAGTGTAGTAACAACCAAACTTCTTTATTAAAATAGCCTATGCCCACTTTGATGATAATAATAAAGTAGCCAGTTGGCTGGGCTAGATTTAATCAGAGTACAGTTTAATTTAGTTGTCCTGAGATAATCACTTATTGAGAGATTTTGAGAAAAAATGACATAAATATTTTTTCCCTATATGTTTGAAATGCCCCATTTAGAAAAATTAGTATTTATACACACACATACATACATGTCTACTTTTTGGAGTATCTGTTTTGTTTCATTGGTCTGTTTGTCTATTCATGCTGTAGAGCCATGGTATTTTAAAAATTAAGTCCTGATAATATGTTATAATAATACCTATTATAACATGGTTTCTTATTCTGGGCATATACATTTCATAAGATTCTCATTTTCTCACCTTGTTTTTAATCAGGCATAATCTGCCTGATGAAGTATATTTAAAAATTTTACCACTTACAATAGACTCTGTTATGGAAAATTTCAAATATTTATCCAAGTAGTGAGGAATTATTCAGTGAATCCCCATGTATCTATCAAGCAGCTCAAGCAGTTACAAACTCATGGCCAGTCTTACTTTACCTATATCCCCACCCTCTTCTTATACCTGACCCTCTACTGGATTATTTTGAAGCAAATCCCAGACATACTATTTCATTTGTGAATATTTCATTACGTCTCTTTAAAGAATAAGCACTCTTTTTCTAAACATAACTAACTCTATCTAATAATTCCTTCATATAATCAAATATTCAGTTCATGTTCAGATTTCCCTGGCTGTCCAATAATTTATGTGGCTTGTTTGAATTTATATCCAAACAATCTACACTTGTATTTAGTTAAGTTTCTTTCTTTCTTTCTAAGTTTCTTTTAGTTTCCTCTTTTTTTCTTTTCCTTGCAATTTATTTGGTTGAAGAATTTTTTTATATTCCAGAATTGGCTTGTTGATGTAATTTAACATATTCCTCTAACCCTTTTATTTCTCATAAACTGATATGTAGTTGGATCCAGATATTGCCCTGCATTTTCTGAAGTCCAGCATATAAATAGAGAATAATTTGAACCCTACATTTTGGGTGACACAGCATCACTTGCAGTATCCTAACCCTCTTTTATCCCTCACTGATTCTGTTTCCAAAGTCTCAGGTTAGAGACATTATTTGACTGTGGTGAAACTAGGATAAAATGTTCGTTTTTTAAAAAAGTACTTTCCACTCTAGTGACTGTACCAAGTTGCCCACTCTAGCTGAGGAGCTGCTGAGCACCTTATTGTCACCATCAAAGTCCAAGGTCCTAATCTTTAACCCCATGAAATCCTACCCAGGGTCACTCACTCCAGCTAAGGAGTGGCAGAGCACCCTAGTGCTTCTCCCAAGAGCTCAAGACCTCACCCATGATCCCAGTGACCCATCCCAATTTTAGCAAGGAACTGCCGAGCACCCAGCACCTAGGCCATGGAGGCACTCACAGACAACTCCAATGTTGAATACAGTCAAAGTAATCCCAGAGAGACTACACTGCATCTATCTGGAACCAAACCTGAAACACTATTTGACTGTCCACTACAGAGTACATCTACAGGAAGGAGTCTCTCCCCTTGAAAGCTACTTCAGAGTACTAGAAGAAGCAACTGCTCAATGAGATATCAATGTAGGGATACTAGAAATATGAAAAAAATAAAATATGATACCCCTAAATGATACAGAAACTCTCTTGTGTCAGGCCCCAAAGGAAATCTATGAAATGCCTGAAAAGGAATTCCAAACAATAATCTTAAGGAAACTCAAAGATATTCAAGAAAACTCAGATAGACAATACAATGAGATGAGAAAAACAATCTGGGATCCAAAAGAGGAATTCAACAAAGAGATAAATATCTTGAAAATTAACCAAGCAGAAATCTTGGAACTGAAACATTTATTCATTGAAATAAAAAATACAACTGAGAGCTTAAGCAGCAGGCTAGAGCAAGCAGAAGAAATAATTTCTGAATGCCAAGAGAGGCTTTTTGAAATAACCTGGGTGGGCTAAAGAAATTTTATTTTAAAAATAAAGCCTACCAGATCTATGGGACAACCTTAAGCATGCAAACATTAGAATTATGGGTGTTCCAGAAGGGGAGGAGAAAGAAAAGGCATCAGAAACCTATCTAATGAGATAATAGCTGAAAACTTCCCAAATTTTGGGAGAGAGATGGATTTCGTATCCAAGAGGCTCAAAAATCCCCAAACAGATTCAACCAAAAAGGTCCTTTCCAAGACACATTGTTGTCAAATTGTCAAAAGTCAAAGAGAATTCTGAACACAGCATGAAGAAAGCATCAAGTCACCAATAAGAGAATCCCCATCAGACTAACAGCAGATTTCTCAGCAGAACCTTACAGACATGAAGGAGAAATAGTGTCTTTCAAAAACAGAAAAACCAAAAAACACCAAAATATTTCAGGAATTTACCACCACAAGACTGGCCCTACAAGAAATCCTCAAGAGAATTCATCTGGAATCCAAAGAATGATAATCATGATAATTACCATCATGAATACATGAGAAAGAATAAAACCAAATGGTAGTGTAGATATACAATGAGAAAGCCAAATAAACTATCTTATCACTACACAAAAAAAGTAAATAGCAAAGACAATAAAATGCCGGAGACCAGCTCCAGTCGAGTTGGGGGCCCTTGAAAAAGGGATGAAGAGTCGGCGAAAATAATAAACACAGGCAGAGACCTTGGTTCCTTTGAAGCATGTTCTCGCTCTGCAGGCTGTCAGTGCTGTCGCAGCCAGAGCAGCTAAAGCAGCTGAAGCAGCCTTCAGACTGAAAACAGCATTTTTATTTGTTACACACATGGGGGGGGGTTAATGTGGGCATTTTAACTACATAAACCTTTAAAATTATTAAACCAATAGTTAAACGGAAACTTTTCTTAAAATTACGTCAGTTCTCATAAAATTAATAATCCACAAGGTTAAGTAAAACTTGGTGGTCAGCCAATTATTTCTGGTGATTATATCTGTTGTGGTCGATTATTCCGTGACTCGCTGATCTTGATGTTTTTCACCATTGTGTTTCTTTTCTTCTTGCCCTCGTATTAACCTTAAACTTATTACTACCAGCAAGCACAAATTGTATGTCTGACTCAAAATTGAGACGTCAGTGATTCCGGTTACAAAGTGTTAAACAAACCTTATGTATATTTTTAACTTTTAAGTATTATTAAAAAAAATTCTAACAATTTTATTTAAAACTTATAAATCTAACAATTAAACTTATAATCAACTAAAAATTTAATGATTCTCATATTTCTATAGGCATGAACCTATTGTTCATTTGTAAAAAGAATAAAGGATATTTGAACAGCTTTATCGTGTGTGTACTTAATATAACGGCTGTGTGGCCCAATGTAAAGTGTCAAAGTGCACAGCACCATCC